CCACGCTGAGGCTGATGTTGCATTCTTGATGCTTCTTTACCGCAGTTGGGCTAAACCAATATACACTTAAACTAGGTCTTTTTAATCTAGATAAAATTCACTCCACTTTATTTGGTTTGTTCTGCGTACTTGATAATCTTCTCCCAACTTGCACACGTCGCTCATGCTAACTGTGGTAAACTTGCATAATGTTATCGCGTGGTATTTTTTAAATAACTTTCGGACATTTTGTACTTATCGCGTATTCACCTTTAACCGATTTCTTCTATATGCTCATTTTACAAGTATTTATGTCGTCATATGCGTTTACTGTATTCGATATCCGCATTTTGAGTGGTTGGCTGTTGTTTGACATCCCCGGTGTGGCTGCGCTTGATGTGTATGTTGACAAGGTGCCTACCTGTCTATTACCCACTACATCGTTCATACTGGCTCCAGGAGACAGTTGGTCGTTGCTGGAGGGGATGGGGTGCACGGTTCTTGTGGCCGTGCTAGGCTCAAAGAGTGGTTCCATGCACTCAGTGTGGAGCGGACTACGGTCCAGCCACCGTCTTGTGTGCACTTGATTCCCCAACTACAGCGTGTCTCTGAAGGAGTGTGGGCCGGCTCCGTTGATGAAACGTGGCTCTCATCCACATGCCTCCCGGTCTTATTCTTTTGGGTTTACACTGGATATGGGGTGTGTGGTTGGAGCTGTGGGTAGTGCAGCTCAAGCCATCCATGTTCCCGCTGTAGACGCAGGCGTCCTATGGCTGGCCACGGTGACAGGCAAATCCGAAACCGGATGCCGCCAACCATGTATTTTCCTTATGTGCAAAGCCTAGTGGAAAGTTATACCTATTTTGCTAGTTGTTTTTTGCGGGCTAGCTTTCAGGCTAAAGAGCTTTAGCCATAAAAGCGTTTTCTCATTGACTGTGATAACAGTCAATGCAGTCAAGTCGCCGACAACTTGCATCACGGTGGTCCGTGACTGAGACACTGTTCCAAAAGAAGAAAAACTCACGCAATTGCGTGACCCATTCACACGTTATTATCTTATCCAGCACAGTGTAGCCGTTTAGGAAACCCTAATGCCGGCCGAGTTCCGAAAGACGATGAACACGTGTGATTGCATTCGCATATTTAAGTGGACGGAGTTAAACGGTGTTGTAAATAGCAACTCAGTAGATATTCATAGTGGCCACCTGCGTTCTACTTGCAGTGCAGAAATCACCTGAGACAGTTGGCATGAACTTTCTCCAATGTATCCGCGGTGATGGAGCGACATTCTTTCACGATGCTCTTTCAGTTTTCCCAATGAATTCGGCCCTGCCTTATAAACTATTCGTGTTAAACAGCTCCATAGGTAGAAATCCAAGGGGTTTAGACCGGGCAGCCCACTCCGTTTGTCCGATCCATGGGTGTCCGAAAATGTGGCGGGGCCTTCAAATTAGCAGTTACCTTTTTCGTCGAACATCATTTTTACTTTTTCTACTGTATATCTCTCAGTATTGCAAGATTACAGCGACGGGTATTTTGTTAAATTCACTTCAAACGTCACTGAGACCCTTTACTTTCTCCATTTTTGAATGTGCACGCGATTGATATCGCGCACGATCCCTGGTGTATTGTCTCTAGACACAAAATTCTACGTCAATTGAAACGAATTTTGTAAAAAACATTTTTAGGAAATCTTTTTCGTTTTCAATGTATACAAATCCCGAAGCTTTATTCCAGCTTTTTGGGATTATTGCTCGATCAATCCATGACAGTGCATCCTCATTTTTCTACCCATTTGTAGACTTAGCATTTTTGATGGTAACCCTTTGGTAAATTTACAGTTGGTAATGTAAAGTTCTGAAAATGCACCCTTGTGTACCTAAGCTTATACTGACTTGCCGACTTGATTTGAAATCCCACTCAGCTAATCACGTGCCGTTTGGACATAATGTACAGGTGCGCCATAATGCTGCCACCAAATGGCGCTGCATAACCCATAGATCTCCAATTGCAAAAATACGCAGGTATGCAGCATTTCCTTGTAAGACGATGCTATGAAAGGTATGGCATTATTACTGCATCAAAAACAACCTACCGGTTACATTGCTGGATCAGAAAATTAGCCCACGATTTTTCGACCAGTTCTTCCATCCTAAACCAAGATCCTCAGGCTCTGTTGCGTACGTAAAGCTCGCTAACGTCGTGGATCAGATCCTGCGCAAAAATACCGTTTAAATGGAACACTGATCCATCGATAAAAATAATGTAATGGATATACATGTGATTTAAGAACCAGCAAATAACTGCCTGCCGTTTCCCCAGATCGCAGGGGTACAAAACTTACACTTGAATTTCACCATACCGACGAAATTCTCTTTCCTTTAAAATCCGCTGAAAAGCGTAACTGGTGGTGTTATAATGCTGGGCGATTCTACTGATGCTTAAATCGGGATTTTCGGTTACTTTACGGATAACATCGCAAGCCGAAAACTCATCCATAGGTGTGCAAGTCCCATCAGATTTTCTGGCGTTGCAAACACTACAAGTTTTTCGAACTTCCACACCAGTTTCACAATGTAACTGCCACTTATGGGCCGCATTCCAGCGTTCATGTTGTCTACGAAAAAGGAGACGGGACCGTTCGCTCCAATCATTGTGTGTTCAGTCTCATTTGTGTTACATCCAAACTACTCGCTGCCCTACTCTTGCGGAGGCTCAGTTACCTATGGGAACAGCATCTACGTCAATAGCAAGCTGGGTTTTGTTCCGGTCGCAGTTGTGTTGATCACATCCTTAAGACCCTTCAGATACTTGAATACAGCCAGACGTTCAGTCGACCAACCATAGTCGTATTCTTGGACATTCGAGCGGCGTTTGATTCATTTGACAGAATGGCCCTTTGGGACTGCGTATTAAAGAGGTGAGTACCTGAGGGGTACCTCAGCATTCTTCGGGCCATTTATCGTCAAACTTCGGGCTGCGTTCGAGTATACGGAGACTTCTCGTTCCCCCCATTCAGTATCACTAGTAGTGTTAGACAGGGTTGCCCAGCCTCTCCATTCTTGTACGACTTCACCATGGACGAGATCCTGGATAATGCCCTGGAAAACTCTAACTCCTGCGGCGTCGAACTGCTCCCGGGTGACCGCCTTCGGGATTTGGAGTACGCAGATAACCTCGCTGTGATTTGCAAGTTTCCTCAGGCCGTCCAGCATGTGGCGCTTAGACTAGAGATTTCCACTTTCCGATTTGGGTTGTCCTTTGCCCCTTCTAAATATGAGGTCCTGTTACAAGACTCGCCAAGTGCATCTCCTTCTCTCCTCCTTTGGGTACATCCACTGGAAGTGGTGGACAAATTCATTTACGCAACTTTAAAATCCCCATTTTGAGTCAAAAGAACACGAGATCATAGGTGAACAATTATTTTCGATGATTCTCTTCAGACCATTACAATCATATTTAAGGGTAAAATAATGAACTGATATCGTCTCATTGGTTCGAATTATATAGCTAGTTAACGGTTCAGTGAGGGAGGCCAAACTTTCAAAAGCAGATTGTACAATGCGATTGTCCTTGCAGTCCTGCCGTACGGCTGCGAGACCTGGCCCGCTCGCGAGGAAGATCTGAAACGACTGTTATCTTTCGACAACCGCTGTTTGCGCACGATCGCTGGTATGGGGTAACAACACTTTGTAGGCAACTCGGAAGTTAAAAGTCGAGTACTCGGAGCGAACGATCCCATTCACTAGGGCATTATTATCGATCACTGTTTACTTCGGTTCCGTCACTTATCGCGCATGCTAGCCCATCGACTATTTCGCCGTGCATTATTTACAATTCCAAGGCATGAGTGGAAGAAATGCCAAGGCGAACAACCAATGACGTGGAAGAGGAACATTAAGAATGTCACCTCATGTTTGGCATCAGCTGGATCTGTCCGTCTTCCTGGTTGGAGACCACATGATGGGGGCTCCAAATGGTTTGAAGTTTTTCAGGATATGGATCGCAACCGAAATCAATGGCATCAATGCTGTTCTAACATTTTTCTTTCATCTAATTTCCAATTTTAAACGAAAAACAAAGCAGATTAAAATGGCGTGTATGAAACTTTAAAAATAGAACAGAAAGCCATTTTTCTTTGTTTGTTGTACAAACCTTTGTGCATCCCATTACATCCGTGGTTCTGACGGCACATTTGTCTGTTCTGATATTTATGAAAAATATATATGTATATATGAAATATAAAAATCCAAAATATATATGGATGCAAGGTTTCGGAATACGCTAGAAAGTAACCTCAGTCTAAGCATGATCTTGATTTTGTTATCATGGGGGAATTCGTTTGTTAAATTGTTTCAAGAGGGACCAGGTAATGCCTAATGGTTGGAAGTAGTGGACATTCACAAGTCTTCGTAATATCCTCAAGGCGCACCAACACCTACCACCAAACCGCGGGATTAACAATTCTAACACGAAATATAAACAGAAACTGGTGACGTGATAACAAATTCTTCCATCCACCACCAGTTGCTGGATGAGACGCGGACACTGATTAAGATGTAACGTTCTCACACACAATCTCGTGAATCTTGCCCTATGCTAGAAACACACCTAGACAAGGACATTTGGGCAACCTTGTATTACTCGTGCAAGAGCACGACAACAATTGTACAAACTAGCGTGCGCCTACCATGAACGCATATTTTCGCACGTGAGCGATGCACGTATCCCTCATTATTCTTAGTATTAACATTATTATTATTATAGCAACGGTTGTGAGATCCAGCATACTTTGATGCGCCTACATTTAATTGATCACTCGAACTGGATTGGTTGACTACTTCCTCGGCTTTTACTTACCCATTCTCGCGGTTCGTTCTGCACATTAGCTGTTGACTGATTTAACTATTGCTTTTTTCGCATGCCAGACCCTTGGTCCTCCATACGAGGGACAGTGTCGCTTGCACACGGTGTTCCTGTTCTCCGTTTTTATTACCGTGCTTTTATTTGTGTTTTCTTAGCACCATGACTGTGTGGGGCGAGGAACGTGAATCCGAAGTTTATTCCTATCTGCTCAACTTGTACCCTACGGGGACGTTTTCCTGCGTGTCCGACAGCTACGACGTTTGGCACGCTTGCGAGCATATTTGGGGCGAGGAGCTAAGAGATAAAGTGAGTCGCGTGTTACGCATGACCTCATATCACCCGCATATGCGCCCTCTTCTACCTCTTCTAATGTTTCCTACCTCCTATCTGTAACTTAACATATCTTTATTTTTTTCTTCGAACCATGCTTGTTGAATACACGCTTGTTTGGACTCCATCTGTATTGTCCAATGGTGTCAGCATCCGCGTTTTCCTCGCTATCGTTTTGGACTCTCCGGTGATCTCATCAGAGCTACGTGTTTCACTGGCGATTGATAGCACTTGATCATAACGGTTGTTAGTCTTACCACAAAACTAATGATGTGGCATTCCTGCGTTGCAATTCAGTTTGACTATTTTATGATGAGCTACCGTAAATCTAACGGGTATGTGATTCCTCGTCTATAACAATACTCTCCCAACTGATGTATCTGCCGTAACCACGGTATCATTTTAAGCTACTGGGTGTCCAGACTTCCGTCTACATTGCGAAATAAAGACGCAATCGATGAGTCCAGGCTTTTAAGCAAACAGATTATAAATTACTAACTCCGGTAGCTGAAGTACTGCAGTATTTGCTTACACTTGCGTTTGCGGCAAACATCAATTGTGAGAACATCACCTTAAACCATTGGTCACCAAACTTTTCTCGCGGCGGGCTGGACAAGGGACAAAATAGCGATCGTGGGCCGGATTAGATTTATGTACAATACTCACAGGCCAAAATGAAAGTTCTGATCAAAACTTTGAAAAGTGGTTAGGCATTCCATGATGTAGATGAATTAGTGATGTCTAACATACAATAACAAAAAATCAAGATGTTTATTGGTTAAAATGTTGTAAGCTGTTACGACGTGAACAAAATGATAGTTACCTCAGACGTTGTGTGTCCACATCCGAATGGCACAAACTAAGCCCGGAAAATGCTTAGCGAGATATGTGAATCCAAAGTTTCACTTTCAAGATAACATCAGTTTTTCGTTTGGAATGGCTGCACCCATTCAAGTGAATTGTTTTCATACGTACATCATTTATTCTCGTTCGATTATTTGACTTCACCTACTTTCTCTTTGAGAATGCTTGCTCACAGACATAAGTTGTTGCAAACACTGATGCTCTACCAATGGCAAATATTTCTGTTTCGGAAAATCAAGTGGTTTCAGTAAGTCACCTGCCTTCAACTCAGTTAGCGCCAACTTTAATTCAACTGGAACATCATCCAAGTTGCAATCAAACGGATTCTGGAACAGAAGCATTTCACTCTCAATTCCGTGAAAATCTCGAAAAAGCCTCTCTTCAAATCACCAGTAATTGTTCTTGGGAAGTCGAGATGGAAATCTTCGGCGAGCGTAACGTTCAGTTCTTGGATAATAGCGTTTTTTTAAAAATAAGAATCTGGCTAAATAACCAATGACCAACGAACCGTAGGTCCTCTTGCGGGCATATATTGCTCTATACCTTTGTTTAGTCGATGACGCAGGTATACATTTGGAGTGTGCACTGTGTGGGGTGTGGCTAGCGTCAGTGAGTATTTTTGAAGCAATTTTAGCGTTTAGATCAACGTGCGTAGATTCAACTGTTTCAGCCAATGTTGACTTTGGAATACCACTGCAGCATGACAACTGTTTCAGTGGCTTGTTGAAAGGCTTGTAATATTTACGTAGTGGACTTGGGAAAAGCAAGGGGAGCAATATCTCCAGTGTGGTAGAATACACGCATTGATGAACTTCAGAATCGTGTTGTATGATACAGAAGATGATCGCAGTCGAGCGACGTAAAACGAAAGTCGCTTGACTTTGTTGGAAATTCACCCGTCGTGAGTGCATAAAAGCGCATTCCTGACTTGATTTGATTCGGCTTGAAGTAAACAATAGAAACGATCGGTCTCAGTATACAAGTAGTATGCCTTTTCCATAGAGTGCATGTTGATGTAGAACCTAGTGTATGAAGAGCGCGACCGGGATTTTCACATCTTTTGACTGCGTTCTAGTCTGCTGTACCAGACCCTTTCTCATTCCGACATTTTCCCTTCATCAACTGTAACACCCCGAAACCGATTCCACGGAAGTTTTTATACTCTTGCACAATTTTATGCACCTCCACGCAAATATTCTTTCCAGTTGTCGTTCCATGCATTTTGCGGACCGATGCTAACTTTTCCATTATCTAAATGTCCATATTGACACCATGAATAAACACGAGAAGTTGTGACGTACTCGAGAGATCAGTGGACTCATCCAACACCACAGAATACCACAAAATATTTTCAGCTTCATCACGTATCTACAGCACTATCTTCTCCCCAAGTTCTCCTGTTCTCCGCACAACTGAACTTACCGAAAGGCTGATAGTTGCAAACAAATCGGATGTCTCAAGACACAGGTCATTCATAGCTTCCACTATAAACTCTTTGATCCAGCTGCCATCAGTAAACGTACTTCATCTCTTTGTCATCTATTTTGTAATTGGTACGGAGGACAGCTTCCGTTTTAGAGAATGTTCTCGTGAAGATCATTCTTTGTGTCTCTAAATCACTTTTATGGACTCATATTTCTCCCAGCATCGTTTCCCAGCAAGCGGAGTTTGCTGATATTTCCTTTGTTTTATAATGACGCAAAAGATTGCACTCTTTCAAGACGACGTCACTCGCCGCATATTACGTAACAAGTTTTCCGGTCCATGGTTTCCACAAAGAAGTATTTTAGTTCCATTTTTCCTTGAACACGCGACGCTGGGTTTCCACCTTCCTCTTCTTGGTAGCCATAAGGAACGATGCAGTAAGCGGGAGCTGTACATGGAAAAAGATATTGAATTCGAAAAATACTAAACGTCCTACTGGGACACAAGCAAAGCAAAGAACTAAGGGTCGCTGGCGATGCTACGGCTCTTCAAAGGTACACCTGAGCTCTGTATCGTACAATGTAAGTAACTTTGACAGTGGAATATATTACCTATGGAGAATCGGAAAACAGGCGCCTGGACAAACATGTTGCAGCAGTTCCGCGTTTGGCAGTCAGAGGTTCCGCAGAGGCAGACCGAAATCGCCTTACTACAACGTTTCCGTCTAACTGGTTTATCACGGGCACTGAATTCTTCGTCGTCCCGACAAATATGCTACCTGTCTTGAGATGCCAGTAGCATTCTCCCCTTGTCATTAAGAGGTAACACTTCTGGTGGACATCATGGGCTCGAAAACTCCGGTACGAGGCCGTGACGTGCTCACCACCACAAGTGGCCTTCGTACAGATTACCACACCACGACAATACTTGCTTGAATCAATGGCAACGACAGCCGCACGGGAGCCACAGCGCACCGCAGTATGCGCGTGTGAACGAGAGGACCGCAGACTAACCTGTAAGCAGGTGAAAGGGGTCTAGCGGTCGTTCAGGATAAGGGGGCGCCAAACACTATCGAGGTTACCTTACGAAGTGCAGCATAGCTGTTTGAGCGGTTCCGGTGAATGGCTTGCACTTTGAGCGTCGCTCAAACTGTCGAGATTGATAAGCGGTGGTATTGCATGAACGTGTTCATGCAGTTACATACTCGAGAGTGTATCAGCGCGAATGCCGCAAACACAGTCAGGATGGGATTTTGTATTATTTTTTGCCCAAGCTCAAGTACCGTTGGCGGGCTGATGAACTAACGTCGCGGGTCTGATCCAGCCCAACTGCGAAATTACATTGTATAGAGGATTCTCCGCGCTATCCGGTGCTCCAAAAATTACTCCTGCATGGCCATTCCTAAGGAAGTTACGACTCAATTTTGTGGCATTTGATTACATTCGCCTATTGTTGACAGTCGCTGGCATCCACCTACAACAAGACATGTTAAAGAGTCTAAGCTTACACGAACCACCGTCAATCGATAAAGAAGCCAAACTGAGCGTACGTGTGCGTCATTCTCGTGACAAACCCACCTACGATAACCAAGGACATGCACGCAAATTTGGCAATGAACTTGAGAATCACTCAACCACCACAAGTCATCGGACTTGAGCAGTGTTCATTTGCAACAACAAACGTCACTGAACATGATACAACTTAACACTAAAAGTGGAGAATCCAAGTGCGCCCGGGTTGTCAGGATAAGACTAGCCTACTATAATTGGCACTGCGTTCCACACCAAGTCAGCTATAAGATTTCCCGCAAAGTTGCATAAAAAGTCCAAAATTTTGCAAAGAAAGTTCAAATTTGTGAAAAGCCCTGTGCGATTCGCCAGTCGCTCTGAGCCAATCCTCTGACCTCAAGTGTGTTCTCATTGGCCGGGTACTAGAGTTTGGTGCGTAAGTCGAACTGAGCGCACTGTCCGTTGACTAGGTGAGACTTGTGAATGAACCTCGAGTCTATAGACATGGGCGGGGTCACTAGCTACTATGCGCTCCCCTTACGTCCGAAACGCTGGATCACAATTGGTCTGAGAGTAATGAATGGCCGGAACATAAGCGCCCGACTGAATGGATGTCTTTCATTCCGGCATGGTCAGCATGCCTTCTCGTCGGACATACGTGACCCGAGTTCTGGATGCCTTCGTCAACGGTGACGACTAGCTGCTCGTGGCAACCGTGAACAATGTGAAATATCAAACTGCCTACTCCTGAATTCGTCGCTCTCTTGATCAGAAACCGGAAACTACGCAGGCGCGCGGTCCTAAGCACATTCTGTCGGAAGAGTTTGATGACATCATGGAGTGGATCGTGAAGGACACAACTCTAACACTACACGAAATGCAAGTTCGAGTACGTGCCGATATAGATAAGAACATTTCAAAGTCTACAATCGCACGACACCTGGCTGGCCGTTTGATGACTATGAAGAACACCTATCAGACTCCAGAAGGAATGAACAGTGAGCGAATCAAAGGGATACGAAAGGAATTTGTTCAAAAGTTTCTCGAACTTGAAAGGGAGGGGAAGTTCTTCATATGGATCAACAAAACAAACTTCAACCTTTCCTGCAAACGTACTCGTGGTCGGGCGCCCAGAGG